GGCTCAGGCAATCCACTCACCTCAACCTCCCAAAGGCGCGGGATTACAGGCTGAGCCACCAACCCCGGCTGGGACTTCTTTCATAAGGGCACTAATCCCATTCATCGGTCTCCACCCTCATGACCTAACCACCTGCCAGAGGTCTCACCTTTTAACAACACTTTGCAGGTAGTGGGTTTCCACCTGTGATAGGGGACACCAGCCTTCAGTCCACAGCACTGCCTTCTGGCAAGCACCCTCCTGCTGTCTCCCCTTGCCATAGCCACCATGCTCTGCTTGCAAAACTCTGAGATCATTCTGTTTCTTTCATCATCTTTCTGCCTCACCTCCCTGATAAAATGTCAGCCCCTCAGAGTAGAGACCCACAGCTCCTCCTCTGCTGTCTGCTGCTCCTGTCACATGCATGACGTAGCAGGGGCTTAATGTGTCTGTAACAGAAACTATGTAACTCCATCCTTGTGGACTCACACATGCTGGGGGCAGGGGGAAGCCCAGCCACTGGTGATCCAGTATTGCTGGATGTTTGCTGTGTGCCTGGTACTATGTCGTGCTGGGAATACACTATGAACAAAACCCTCAAGAGTTTGTTTTTTGATGTTTATGTTCTAGTTCAGAGGCAGACGACAAACTTGTGAGAAAAAGAGAAATTGAGTACGTGCCTGACTCTGCTGGTATCCAATGCCTTCTAGACCAACACTCCCATTCCAATCATGCCTTATTTTATTATCCTGTTTTATTTACCTCAAATGTGTGTCAGTGCACTTGTGTATTATCTTCTCCCCCACACAAGACATTTCTGCTGATGGGGACAGAGCCTTTCAGTATTTTTATCATTTACGCCAGGCTCATAACCAGCTCCCAAATGTTTTCTGAATGAATGGACTGTGTTCTGTTTCTCTCCTGGGTTGTCTGTCTATGTGTATCGTGCTGACCACATGCCTTGCTTTTGTGCAGTGAAAGAAGGACCAACTGATAGCTTCATAACTGAGCTTGTCTTTACACTTCTGTTCCCCCAGTTGCTTGCTCAGTAAACCCTCTGGGCTCAGCTATCTGTGGGTTATTTGGGGTTTCTCATTCCTACCAGCCGTATTCCTATATTCATGTGATCAGCCACATTACTATACTCGTTCACGCCATCAGTGTGGAGAGTCAGAGTCCAGAAGAGGAGTGTATGCCAAAGTCCAGCTACAGGTTTACAAACCACATTCCTCAACCAGGACATTTGCTGAGGCTGACTCCTGGTCACAGCCTGTGCGACATACACAGAGGGTGGCTGCCATGACCCCAAAGGATGGGGTGGGATAAATATGTCAAACCTTCCAGGGAAGAGTCCAGGAGACACTCAGCATGAAGTCTGCCCTGAAAACAATGCAATTTAACAAATCAGAAGACCAAGCATGCCCTTGCAGGGCCTTATAGAGAGCACCTTTCCAACTCCTCACTTTACAGATAGGGAAACTGAAGCCCAGATATGGTGTGAAGCTCAGCAGCATGAACAGTATCTGTATTGTCCAAAATTGTTCAGAAGTGTTACCAGCGTCTCACTGTGTGACATCGAAGTGTCTGTGACGCAAGTTTCATGGTAGTAGTTTTTAATTAGTGCTTTCAACCAGTGGTGTTCCTTTATGCGGTCCCTGAGGGACTTTTCCTGTGGCAGAAAGGGAGCTGATAGCAGTTAAAAGTATTCCCTTTGAGAGATCAATCAGTAAGCTCCGAAAACCTGCCAGACAGGTTTTTGCTTGGGAAAGCCAAATAGCAGAGAATGGTTTTCTTGGAAATGCAAAAGAGTGACCAATTCACAAACTTATCCAAATCCCCTCTTTTTGAAGTTGACAGTTTATAACCCTGCTTGCCATGCATTTCCTGGAAACCATTTGTTCTTTGAAAGATCAGATTTTGCTGAGTACAACCTTGTAAATTCCAGAGAAAATGTGTAATCACTCAATCCAACCCCCCCCTTACTTGAACTGGGGTATAAAAGATCCCTCTCCTCCCTTCCCAGGTGCTCGTCAGCCCACTGAGTCTGGCGTAAATAATCCTGCTAGGCATTCTAAAAGAGATATGGGGCTGTGGCTTGGTCACAAGATAAGGTTCACACTGGCTGGTGCTGGTGGCTTTAGGATGGCATTGAGGCAACAACTACAATAGCTTTTAGATATACAGTATCCTGGGTAAAGTGTTAAAATGCCAATAGCCAAGACACAGAGTATTTTCTTAAAGAATCAAATGAGAGTCTGTTGAACCAAGTCCCAGGCAGTGGGCAGGCGGCTAGAAGAGTGTGACAGTCACCTTCAGAACATGGAGTCAGAGTGGAGAGGAGTACCTTAGAGGCAAGGCAGCCACAGAAGTGCCCCTCTCAGCTCTCCAGTGCTGCACCCTGAGATCTACCACCACCTGCTCTCAAAAGCTATTCATGGCTTTTCCATTCCCAGGGATAGCACCGCCAGTCTCCTGAGACAGGCCCATTCCCTGAAGACACAGGGCAGGCCTCCTGGGCCCCAGGGCCCCTCTTGAGGGACCCAAGAAACCAAGAAACTTAAAAAGTCATACTTGCTGTAAAAGTAGTGTTTAGTTCACTATATTTTATATATCCCTACTTCACGGTCACTATATATTTTGTGTATTCCTACCTCACGTTCATTGTATTTTATGAATTCTTAGTACTTTAAATACTACCTCAGACCCCGTAGAATTAGGCACATGTCGGGTGCTGGGTAGTGACTGATTGTGTAGTTATACAATGTCTTAAGTAGTGTTTGTATTTAGAACTCTTGTCCCAATTGCCATGCTGACTTCTGCTTTTACAACGGGATGTAAATGTTAAAGCGATAAGCCCCTTTCAGACATTCCTTTGCTATTGCAGTAGACTCTGAGGCGCTAGCCGCTCTCCAGGTGGGTTCTATGTTGGTTCAAACCTCCGGCTCCCATGCCAAAGTTAATTTACACGTAGTGGCTGTGTAAACCTGAGAGAATCAATAGACTTTTAGAAAAACTGCCTTGCTATGAGAAAACGTTTACGGTATTTTATAAATCCCTAGAACTAGTACTATATGATTTCCTACCCCACGTTCACGGTATTTGTTTGCAGGCTTTGTATTTAAGACTTTGTTAAGTTTAGCTTTTGTTGTCCCATAATGACCATGTTATGTTATGTAAATGTTAAGCAAACAAGCCCTCCTAAGCATTCCTCTGTTTAGATCAGCAGTCTTGGTGGGCTAGCAACCTCCTGCCTGCTTGCTCAAGTGAATTTACATGCAGTGACTGCATAAACCTAACTTATCTGACATTCCACTCTGGTTTCTGTCAATCACAGGCAGATGAGTTAAAGCCCGCGCAAGGCAGAAAAGAAACCTACCAATCCCAAGTGTTCCTGTACCCATTAGGAGAAATTACCCAATCGTGTAAAATCAAGTTTAAAGTTCTTTCCCCTCCCTCTGTAATTGTGCATAAAAACTGCTTGCCATACTGGATCGAGGCTCTCGTCCCTGAAGTCGCTGTGTCAGCTTCATACGTGAGCCCAGACTCGAGCCTGAATAAAGACCCTCGTGTGTTTGCATCGGAGCTGGCTCTTTGTGGTCTCTCGGATTTAACTCTTGGGTTTAACACATGTATATCAAATCATCTTGTACACCTCGAACATATTCAATCTTTATTGAACAACAAAATACTTTATGTTAGGATATGGACAGGGTGAGGGTGGATGGAGAGGTGGAGAGGTGGCGAGGCAAGGGAAGGCACGGCACCAGTAACCCAGAGATCCAAGTAATTGCAAAGAATTGCAACACACAAAAAGGTTAAGAAAGAAAAGTTTATTTAAAAGTAAATTAGAAAGAGAA